CTAATAATTATGTTCACATAAAATGTGGAAATTTGCATATACTTCAAGGATTCCTTTCAACTTCTTTCCAACGATACAAATTAAAAAAAACAACAAACACCCCTCACTTAAAATCTCTGCACACCAGGGAACCACGTGGCCGTGTGGCTGTGAGCTCCGGAGGGGAAGCCAGCCAGGGACCCCTGATCCCACTGACTGTGGGGTCAGAATGGCCCGAGAAGTCTGAGTACCCAAGGGAAAACCAAGCACACTGCTGGGACCTTCTGTGGCAACTCTGATTTTCAGGGTAGCGGCAGGAAATCACCTGTCTTTGTTTCTGTTAATACGAACTGCAATCATCTACACGGGCCTTGGAGAGACACCCAGCTCCCTCTCAGGTACAAGGGCAGAGGACACACTTCGCTCGCCCTTCCCTGAGCTGTGTCCAAGACGACCTTGCAGGAGACCAAACAAGTCTAAACCTTCCTCACCCCCAGCCTCACTCCCCCAGCAACAGCAGGAACCTAAAGGTTCCTGCTAGAGTTTGGATCTGGATCACCCTCTAATCTCTGGTCCTGTCCCCCCAACCCCATGCAGAGCTGCTGGGAAGAAGAGTGAGACCTTTGTAGGTGGGACCCAGAGGGGGGCCTGCGGGCCACTGGCAGCTACTCCTGAAGGACCAACTCGACTGTCTGTCACTTTTGTGCCCCAGCCGTGAGAGAAGCTCTCTTGCTATCACCCCCACTCCACCCTGATGGCTCAGCCTCATCAGAGGCCTCAAAGTGCCCGGGCCAACTGACCACAGATCAAGCCTCCAAAGCCATAAGCCAAAACAACCTGATTATGCATGACGACCTTATGAATTCATTGTAACGATGGAAAGATATAAATACATCTTCACAGAGGCCAGTCTAAGGACAAACTTAAATCTCTGCTCCTTCTATAATCTAATCTTTACGACAATTCTACCATATAAACTAAATAAATTTCAATCTAAGCTAAAGCACAGGACAAAGAAGAAAGAGTCTGAAAGGCCCATGAGAGTTAATCAGCTGATACCCTCAGTATGGACTCAGCTTCCTTGGCTGAGAAATCCGGATACACTAGACTGCTGAGGCAGGAGTTACTGCATCTGGCCTCACCTCAAACTGTCCAGGAGAACACTCTGAACAGTACCAGTTCTCAGCTCCAGAAAAGTTATTCAGCAAAGATTTTTTAAAGAGGTTTTCTGTGAGGTCCTAGGACAAGCTAGTTTTGGGAATCACGGCGAGGACCTCTTCCAGCTCCAAAACTATGATTCTGGAGCAATCTGGATGGTTCTTTGAGGCTATCTGATAGCCAGTGGCCAAATTTCAAGTGCACGGCAGCCCGATTAATCAGTGTACAGAACATTTTCATCACTGCAGAAGGTTCTAGCAAATAACAGTTTCAGGAAATCAATTAAAGACTCCCTCACATACGCATCACTTCATTTCTATTTTTTCCTTGTCCTGGTTTTATTTTACCATTTCTGCAGGAACTGCTGCTTTCTGATCCTCAAATCTGTTCACCCGCAAGGAAAACAACCAAAGGTCACATACTTGTCTGTGAACAAGTTAGGAAAGAGAGAGAGAGAGAGAGACTCTCCACACTTCCCCTGAGCCCTTCCCCTCCCCCCGCCATGCACACAAGTCTAGATACAGAGTAGCCTCCGCTCTGCAGGGCAGCTGTGCTGGGCAGAGCAGATCCTAGGGTCAGGGGAGATCTGGGCTCGTTTCCGAGCCGGCTCTTGCTTGGACTTGGCCTTTAAGGAATCTCAATCACCTCCACCACAGGAATCTTTCTTCTCAGCTGCCACAGCTCTGCTGTGGCTTGTCCCCACCAAAACTCATGCTGAGCTGCTAAGGCAGTGGTCATGAGAAGGGGCTGAACCCTGTGAAGCAACTCGATTAGAGAGGCGCACCCTCGGGCAGAGATGAAAGCAGTCCCTACAAGAGGAGGTGAGTTATCCTGAGAAGGGGCTGCTATAAACTGCCTGGCCCCATCTCTTATTTGTCCTTCCACTTTCCCTTATGATGGAGCAGCATATGGCCCCCAACAGAAGCCAAGCCAATGCTAGGGCCATGTTCTTGTACTTTCAGAACTGTGTGCCAAATAAATTTCTTTTTTCTTTTTTTTTTTTTTCAGAACCAGGGATTGAACTCAAGACCTTAAGCTTGCCAGGCAAGCACTTATGCTACTGAGCTATCTCCCCGGCCCCTAAATCTCTTCTTTATAAATTTCCTGCTCTTAGGTATCCTGTTATAGTACCAAAACAGACAAAGACAGCATGTAGCGAGTTTCTCAGCCACAGCCTTATCAGGTTTTGTACTGGACAATTCTGTTAGGAGGCTGTCCTGCCCGTCAGCAGCACCTTGGCCTTGACCCTCCAGAAGCCAGCAGCACCCTCCCTCCAGTCATGACAAAAGGGCTCCAGGCACAGGCAAACAGTCCTAGTGGGGATAATCCTCCACATCCTAATTCCTGTTATCTCCCCTCCTAATCGCCTTCCTCCTCCAGCTTCTGTTACAAAAGAAAAACAAAGAACTTTCAGCATGCAAATTAAAGTTATTAAGCAACACTGTTTTGGTTAAATTCAGCAGGTTCTGCTAGGCTGACTCACTTTGGCTCACAGTTTAAGATAAAGGGATGCAGGTATCAGCCCCAAAAGCTTCTGCATAAGATAAAAGGGGTAAGGCCCAAGAGGTGATCCACGCTTTGACCCAATGCTTACTCATTTGGGGGCCCCCTCCTTAAAGAGATCATTCAAAATTACATATGTACTAAGGAATGCAAAAGTAAACATTTATCAAGAATGAGAAAAGCAATCATAACTGTATTAGTCACTTTTCTGTCACTGGGGATAAAATACTAGACACTCATGACTTACAGGAGGAGAGATTTGTCTTAGCTCATGATTTCACAGAATACAGTCCAAGGCTGGTGGCTCTGAGGTAGAAGGGGATGGCAGAAGGGCGTGGCAGAGAAGGCTGCTCACCCCACCACAGCCGGGAGGAGAAGGGCAGAGCCAGGGATAAGCTGCCAGGCACCCCCGCGACCTACCTCTCTGGCCTATGTGCACATTAAACTCTAAACTTATCAACAGATGAACCCACTGATGAGTACAGCACCGCATGCCGCAACAACCCACCGGGGAGGGACTAGCCCAAGATTCCATTTCTGTATCCCATCCGCCCACCGCTGCCATGGGTTCTGTATCCACAAAAACAGCCAGACTGTGAATGTACTTAGGCCTACAATGGACACACCTGGGCCGGGTGTGGTGGCACATGCCTGCAATCCTGGCACTTGGGAGGCCAGGGCAGGAGGGTCACTGCAAGTTTGAGCCTAGGCGGGCCTTGAGCTCACTGGACTACATAGTAAGACCCTGTTTCAAAAAGCCAAAGCTACATCTGTACTAAATATACCTTTTCTTGTCTTTATTTCTGCAATAATGTAGTATAATAGCTATATAACATTTGAATTACATTAAGTCATATAAGCAATCTAGAGATGATTTAAATTATATAAGACAAAGTGTATAAGATATTTGCAAACACAACACCGCTTTATAAAGGACCTAAGTATTTGTGGCCTTGGGAACCTGTGGAGGGTCCTGGACACAATCCTACACAGATACACGGGGACAGCAGTATTATCCCATTTAGAAAACCTCTATCAAGCTTCACTGTAAGGCCTGGAGGAATTCTCAGGACCGCTTTCCAGCTCCATACTTTGTGCCCCTTGCTCTCCTCACCGCCCCCACACTTGCAGTGCCAGCTGCCACAGGACCTGTCCACAGCAGGAGCCAGGCTGGCCTTCACCTCACATCATAGTGCCAGCGAGTCTGCTCTGTGGGGGGTAATAACCATGCAGTAAAGCATCTCCAAACACCCTCCTGTTACACCACTATTCCCCAGCTAACCGTAACCATAATTCAACTTTCCTCAGATGCTAAAAATGCCTGCGGCCTCTCCAACAACACCCAACATGAGAGGAAGTCAGACAGGAGAGTCTAATGGAAAGGGAGAGGCCCACGCCAGCTGTGAGACCCCTCTGTCCATGTGGCCGTCGTGCCCGCGAGAAGTCCTGAGGTACAGACTCGCCACCCTCCCCCGGCCTCACATCCCAGCAAGTGGCCATCTTGCAGGAACACACTGGCTGCCTCTGGAATCAAGGTTATGTTGTCCCCTGGGCTCAGCACCAGTCATATTAACCACATTAAGTAAGGGACATGAATTTGATATCTACCACTTGGGGAATAGGTAGGTTCTTACCAACTCAGCTTCCCTTTCCTTCTCTCCCCAGACTGACCAAACACAAAGCTAACTCTGAGATACATTCTTTAGAAATACATGGTGCACTGGTTACTTTCTGTTTCAGTGACACGAACACCTAACATAAATTAAGAAAAGGTTTGTTTGGGCTCACAGTTTCAGGGTGTCAGTCTACAAACAGAAGGCCCCTGTGGCTCCCAGGCCTGTGGCAAGGCAGCAATCACAGCAGGAGCACGCGCGGCAGGAAGCTGTTCACTTCATGGAGACCAAGACACAAGAAAGAAACAGGAAGGCCAAGGGCCCCCTCTCTCCTCAGCACGTGCTCAAGGCCCTAATTTTCTCCCTGGGCCCCACCTCCTAAAGACCCCACCACCTCTTGCTATGCCAGGGCTGAGGAGCAAGCTTCCACCATGAGACCTTCGGGGGACAGCAAGATTAAAACTACAACACCTGTACAAAGGCCTAGCTCCCCTCCCTCACGGAATAACAATGAAAACCGTGTGAGCGAAGAAACACTGCTCACACCCCTGCCACGGCTGAAGTCACCACCTAAGCTTGGCAGTCAGAGCTTTTGTGCTGAGAAGCCCCCGGCAAGCTGTTCAGAAACCACCTGCATACAACCTCACGCATGCACCCCATGCAGCTCAGAACAGATAGCTCAGGCTGGAGCAGGGACATGCCACAGCAGACGTGGTCATGCAGGTGGCCTGCGCAGGCGCGTCTTACCTCATCATACATGAACTGAAGCGTCAGGGCTGACTTGCCGACCCCTCCACTGCCAACCATGATCACTTTGTGCAGGGCCAAGCTGCTCTGGCTCTTGTTCTTGTTTGCTGCCATCTTGCCGGCTTTCTGAGGTGAGGACACACAAGCTGAAGACCCCGTTGGAGAGCTGCAGATGACAAACCAAAGACTTAAGAGGCAGTTTGCTTCCCACTCAGTTGAAATAAAATGACACCCCTATACTCTGGAAAAGCTTGACCCAGACATTCTAACAGAAAGATTCTTCTAGGCTTTCAGCAAAGATAAAAGCCTCTGGCCGGGGAGATAACTCAGGAGCATAGCGCCAGCCGGGCCAAATGGAAAGTCCTAAGCTGGATCCCTGGTACTAAAAAGATACCAAAGTCATTGACCCCACAAGGCAGGGCCAGAGCAAAGTCAAGATGAGAAGGAAGAAGTGGGAACATCCTTCCTGGCCTGGTGCCTACAGCACTTGGGGGTATGGGGTAGGTAGGGGTAGAGGAACTACACTGAAAGGGAATCTACCCCCTGGGTTCCCCAGGGAGCACACGACCACAGGCTTCCAAATCCCCACCTCTCCCCCAGGGGCCTGGGTCCTCAACCCCCAGCTTCTCTCTCCTTTCCCTGACCTGGTGCTTCCTCCCAACACATGCCACCTCCCACACACACACCCCCCAGCCTCCATGCAGATTAAGGAATGAGGGAAAGAGAGGCAAGTAAATGCTTTGTTTTGTTTTGTTTTATATAAAAAGCAGCCCTTCATGACCCAGTCCAGAATTAAACACATTATTTACTCCAAGTTTATTTAATGGATTTAAGAAGCTAAACTTCTTCAAAAATAACTAGTAGTCAAAATGTTTGTTCTCTCAGAAGTAAGACAAAATGTGCACAGCAATCTTGGCATTATGAGCCATACAGTAGTCTCCATAAATAACCCAGAACCTATTCTGAGCAAGTGCTAACCTTTAATAAATTTGTATGGAAAACTGAAAAGCCTCTACTTTATATACATCTCAGCAAAAAGTGAAAGGCCAGCACCTAGTGTCTGTTGGGCCTAATTGTGCCATCTGCGAGCTGTGTGATCTAGAACTAATTATTCAATTTCTCCAAGCTAATTCTTGTATCTACAAAGATGAACTTCCATCTACCTTGCAGGTTGGTTCTTTTTTTTTTTTTTTTCCATATTTTTACTGAGAAACAAATAGCAATGAGACAGTTTCAAACCAAATTGGTAGGACAGTTTCAATAATTAACACATTGCATACATTCTTCCTAGTGGTTAACTGCTGTACAAGATGCGGACTTGGAAAAAAAAAAAAAAAAAGATGCTGACTTGATACCCTATTTACAAACACCATTAGAACAAATCCCTCTATTCATTAAGAGAATGTAACTATATATCTATCCTAACCACTTTGAATACACAGATACAAAATGGACATTCATCTGTATCCCCTTTTTTTGTTAAGTTCCATCATTTAAATATTGTAGGTGTGTAAATTCAGCAAAATATTCTAAAAGAGTTCAGTAGTCCATAATAGTATTGGGTCTTCCGTTTCACTGGCAATGTCAGAAATTGTCCCCTACAGCTCAACATAACAGCATGGCTTTACTTCTTATACTTCGCTTTTATACTTTTCTGCTGGATTAAGACCAAGGTAAAGCAGGACCTATGCAACAAGAATTGTAGCTTTTGGGTCTGATAAGGTCAGTGAAATCCTCTCAGGATTTATCCTGAGATCCTGTACCTCAGATTGTAGATCCTTTGTAAGTGTCAGCCATGTGGATGAGTCACGGCCATTGCTTGGCCAATGTGCTCTCTGTGAAAGCCTGAGAGAATGTTTTCTCTCCACGTGACTCTCCTTAGTCCATGTGACTCTACATCATCGATCACTTTCCTCTTTGGCCCCATAATCTCCTTGATCAGAAAATTTGGGACACTACCGAGTTACATGACGTTACAGTACAAGTTCTCATATGTCCTGAGTCTTAAGTGACCTTGGAAGGCTAGGGCCAAAATGTTGGCTTTCCTTGTGACCCTGTCATTCTGGTCTTCTGAATATGGGCTGCTTGTCATGACATGCCAGTTGCTGTTGTACTGTCTCTTGGGTAGATGATTATTCAAAAAGAAGGGGGTGATGAATGAAGGCAAGAGATAGGAAAAGGAATACTGTGGGACTGTCCTGCTTCAAGGTTGTATATGGTTAGATTTTTGGACTTATGTGTAAACATAAGAAGTATATAATTCTTTATGCCTATTTTTTAAAATATATTCTAATTTTTAAATGTTTTTTCATCATATTCTATAGGGACTTAAAGTTCAACATATCAATACTTGATGAAAAATACCTGTTCCATGTTATGCCTAAGATGTTTGATATTCAGACAGATAGTGAAGTTAAGCTTAACAGCCTAGGTTGTATGGTAATAACAATAAGCTTGTCTTCTGGATGGTTAACAACCTAAGTTTGCAGATCAAAATTGCAGGTTGGTTCTTGAGAACTATCAAACAAGATGACGCAAGCAAAGCACCTAAACACAGGGCTTCGCACACACTAGGGACGGAGCACACACATGTGGACTGCTAGCACATGCCCTAGCACAGAGCGAGGCTGGAATATAGAGTGGCCACCGCCTTCCCATCTAATTTTAAAAGGATATTTTTCTAATTGCAACATGATGGGCTCTTATTTTCATTGCTGCTAATACGGTAAGTTAAAAACACTCCCCCAGTGCTTGGGAGGCTGAAAACTGGAGGATCACTATGAGTCCAATCTGTGTAGTGAGACCCTGTAGACCCGGTACTAAATATTAAAAAAAAAAAAAAAAACAAAAACACTCCCACTAGAAAAAATAAATGCAACACACACAAATCGGATAAAATATAACCTGGTGTGTGTGTGTGTGTGTGTGTGTGTGTGCGTGTGCGTGTGTTAGGGAAGAAGCAAAAGGTCAAGGACAGGACAGAAAAGAACTGGGGGGTGAGGACCCAGGCCGTGGGGGTGGGGGCAGGCAGGGACATGCAACCACATCCGTGGTCTATTAAGTCAGCAGTTCCATCCTGTCTGCACAATGGAACCTGGCAGCATTGGTTGCATCCTGCGGTGTACCCCTCCCAGGACACTGATGGGCCTGCTTGGGGCAGCCTGGGCTGTGCAGCTGGGGTGTGGCAACTTCTAGATGCCCAGGTGCCCCCAGCAGGCAGCCACAGCTGAGAGTGCTCTTCTACATACAGCCAAGCTCCAGAAGAGCATCTCACTGGAGTGAGGCATCAGGGGACTGCTGTCCCTGCTATTCCAGGTGGCTGCTGCTCTCAGGAGCAGTTCCCACTCCCAGGCTTGGGAGTCCCAACACCCGGGCAAAGGAGGAGTTAGGAGCACATTCACAACACAGGATCAGGGCCGGCCAAATAGCTCAGCAGATTAAAGTGCCTGCAAGCAGGCGCAGGGGCTGGGGGTTCGATCCCAGGGCATGCCGTGCTGGCCCCACCCCTGGGGCACGCTGAGATGGCAACTGAGACTGGGTGTGATGGTGTGCACCTATAATCCCAGCTCTTGGGAGGCTGTACACAGGCTGATCACTACGAGACCAATCTAGTAGTGAGACCCTGAACACCCTGTAGACCCTTCCCTAAAACTATCCAAAAAAAAAAAAAAAAAAATGCAGGAACAACAAGCCACAACCTTGGAAGGCATACACCTGACAAACAGGCAGGCAGGAACAACTTGTATCTCCCAACAAGGAGCAAGAACAAACAGGCTCATTTGCTTGAGTCCTCACAGTAGGGAGGTCTTCCGCCAATATCTACAACCACAACACTTCCCTAAAAATTAACAGCTGGATGGAGTACTGGAGACCCAGGCTGACTACACAGCAAAACCTCCCTGGGGACTCAGTGCAACAGTGCCACCACTCCAACTTCCGGGACACAAGGGACTGTCTGTGCAATACAAGCAGGACTTGGATGGCAACACAACCTCGATCAATTTTAACAAAGACAAAAGCAACATCTGAAAAAACTGATAAAATTGGATTGAACAAAGAGCATTGTGAAAACAAAAGTATGTTCTAAGTCTTTTTTTTTTTTTTTGTGGAACTGAGGATTGAACTCAGGCTCTTGCGCTTGCCAGAGAAGCACTTATCCACTGAGCCATCTCCCCGGCCCTATGTTCTAAGTCTTTTTTTTTTTTTTTTTTAAATATTTATTTTTATTTATTACATTTATTTATTGTGTGTGTGTGTGGCCAGCTCAGCCCACCAGGGGGCGGGGCTGGCTGGCATGTGGTGCTGGAGATCGAACCGCGGTCCCTGTGCTTTGCCAAGCTTGTTCCAAGTAGGTGCTTTAGACCACTGAGCCATCTCTCCAGCCCTGTTCTAAGTCTTTAAAATAAAAAATCATGATCCTCTTAGCAACTTTACAAAACATACTGGGTGGGTGTGGTGGTGGCCAGAGATACTCATATATACGTGTCAGTGAAGGCTGAACCCAGGGCCTCTGCACTGAGCCATATCCTAACCTTTTGTATTTTTTAGTTTGAAACAGGGTCTCTCTGTGTCACTAAACTGCTAGGCTGACCAGGCTGGACCTGAACGTGGGATCTTCCTGCCTCAGCCTCTCAGAATGCTGACCTTACCCAGCGAATGCCACATCTCCCTCTGCCAGTGTTTAAAGTATGCATGTTTAAACTCTGCTTGGGATCATATTGGTGAAGGGCTGCAGGTTATTCCTCATGCTCCACAGCTGTTTCCTGAGTTAGGCAGAATGAGTACAAGTCAGCTTCTCTCTCTTTTTCTTTTTTTTTGGCAGAACCGGGGATTGAACTCAGGCCCTTGTGCTTGCCAGGCAAGCACTTATTCTACTGAGCCATCTCCCCGGCCCCTAACAACTCAGCCTCTCTTGACGCCCAAAGCTCCGCAGCACCCGGGTGAACAGTGCAGAGCGCCCTGGGCGCTCCACGTTAAAGACACAGCTCGGGCCTCTGCCTCCTCTCCACCCCGGCAGGTCGCAGCCAGTGTACCTGCCCACACCAGGCCCTGCTTCCACTCCCCTTCCTCATTATGTGTTTTTAATAAGTGAGCTAAGCAATTAATCAGATAATTAGGCAAATCTACATTGTGACTAAAATAGTGCACGTGGAGGGGCGGGCCTCC